TATATATATATATATATATATATATATATATATATATATATATATATATATATATATATTCTGCACGCTATTATATATCAATGCATGTGGATGAGAACTATGTGTATATATGTATATATACATAAATATAGTCGGTGAAAGACCTTGGCGAGAGAATCAGAGATAATTTGTCCACCTGCGCGTGTAACAATCTCGTTTCCCTTCTTATTCTCGCGCGTCTCTATTACTCTAAAAACTCCATCTACTAACTACTATATGAGCAGTATATAAGTATATTGCATTAATATACACAGCTAATATATTAGATTAAGTTTGATCCATATTCACTTACTCACATATTAATGATGAGATAAAAACATATCGTCAACAAAATCGTATCAATGGACGTTTACAAATCATTAAATAATGTATGCCTACAATATATATATTCAAAAGAAAAATAATTTTTCATTTAATCCAGAGATGAGAGTATGTTAAATTATTCATCAGCTACCGCTTGTAATGTAGTTACAGCATATTGCTTGTGGTTTGCACCTTATATTACCTCGTGTGGGAAAATCCAAAAGTTGTGATTTCAATATTTATATATAAATCTGAGTGTCTATTATATTTTATCGGCTTTTGTCTTTTATACTTTGATAATAAATACATCGCATGTTATAAATTAAAATGTAATGTCATCTTTAGTTGTCATTAACATCCAATAATTAAAATTTTTTTCATAATATTTATTTACTATTTAAATTTATATTTTGATTCTATGATTGATTAAAAAAAAAAAATAAATAAATAAAAAACCAGTATTAGTTTAACATGGTAGAACTTTATAATTTCTAATAATAATCCATGTGCAGATGTTTTAAATTTTTAGTATTATTTTTTTGTTTGATCGTTTAGGATTGTAGACTCCGGTATGTTGTGGTTTGTACTTATACCGCCACGACCCTCTGAAAGAATGATTAGTGTGGTAAGTTTGTGGCACGAACTTGTTTATTCCTGACACTTTTCTCATTGTATCACCATACACCTTTTTTACTTTTTGAATTATACTCTTATCATTATTATCATTTTTATTATTATTATTATTATTATTATTATACTGATTATTATACTGATTATTTAAATAATGAAATTGAAGAAAGTAATAGTAACTATACGACTAGACAAAAGTTAAATTTAAAAATTGCACACACAAGGACATATACGGCGGAGAAGTCAATTGTGTCGAAAGGGTTTAAATGGTTTAACAGTTTAGATAAAGATCTGATTAATGAAAATAGAACAAAAAAATTCAAAATAAAATTAAAAGAGTATATCAAAAGGAATGTTGGGTACTTTGATAAATTGTAATAAATAATAATTAAAATATTGTAAGTTAAAAATTTTATAAATATTATAAGTATATTGACGAACTGAAAATAATGTAAAAAACGAAATAGCTTATGCTAATTGAACAATAAACATTACAATTATTATTATTATTATTATTATTATTATATGATATAATGAGTGATTCCACTCTGTCGATTATAAATTTGTAATTTGATTAATTGTAAATACAAACTAAGAAACAATCTAATTTAATTTTTATAGAAATAGTTGTGTTTAAAATATTTCCAATATTATCAATTTTGTAAATATTGTGCATAGTACATCAAAAGAGTCAGTTTTGATTTTTTGGTAATGACGCGTTAGCTACCGTCTCGTTTATATATAACATGTATAAGTGCAAGTATAAGAGAATGGAAGAATAGAGATAAATCGCTGGATATCGCAAAAAAATATATTACGGAAAAAAAAATGAGAATGAGAAGAAATAATACTTGAAAAGAGTAAGAGAAAAAGAGAAAGCGAAGTTTAATCGGGAGGCATTATCTCAATCACGTAAAACGGCAAAATTGCATTTACCTGTTTAAATGAATATTTGGCGGCGAAGACGCCGACGAAAAAAAGGTTCCGCCTCGAAATCCACGCGGCTGCTAAGTTAATTTACCATGGAATGTCGGGTAACGCCCTCAACTACCCTCAGCACATCACGCGTTTTTCTATATATATACTCATCAGCATACATATATGTATAGGTATATATGTATTTCACCCCAATACAGCTACTACTTGTACATAAAAAATACTTTTTGTTAATTTTTTTCCGCCCTTTTATTCTCGAGATTAATCAAACGAAATTAAAGAAGAAAGAAAAAAAAAACTTGTTTTTAACGCGTTCCAGCATCCCGTCGACTCCGTATATCTCTATATCTGATAATTAGAGTGGTAATTATACGATGATTAACAGAGATGGCTTCCGTGCAATCGTCCGGTCTTTTATATTGTATAAAGCTTTCGTCGATTCTAGTTGATTTTTCGTTGTTTTATGCACATGAAAAATATACGTTTATTATATAAATCATGGCTATTTTTTTTTTATTTTTCTAAATATTAAATTGTATTTTGTATATCATACATAATTCCTTTTATTTTTATAATTTTTTTTGTTTTTAATTTTATTAATTTTACTCTTTAAAAGTCGTAAGCTTTTATATTTTGTTTTTTACTCACAGAATACCTGTCGCCATAATGCACAAGGTCCTACAAACGATAATGAGGAGTAAACTAATTATCAAGTCGTTGGGCAAAACTATATTTCAAAAACCTTTTATGCTGACAGCTCATAAGTATATTAATTGCACATGTGTATGTTAATGATAAACTTGTATAATATATACATATAAAAATATACTTATTGTTATTATTATTAAGCTCTAATTATTATAGTCATAAACTATAATATATTAAATATATCTTAAATAATATATTATTATTGATATTGGCGATAGAATAATGATTTGGTTTAATTAACAAGAAAATATGTTATAGGCGCCAGTTATATATATGTATATATTATATTATAGATATACAAACATGGTATTATTAAATTATGTGATATATATGTATGGGTGTGTATTATAGTATATATTAAAAAGAATCGCGTCGTAAGAGATGACTATGTCTCATAAAATCAAGTGTTGATGATGGTCAACTGCCCATTATGTTGTTATTCCTATTGAAAGTGACACTGCAGGAGGGCGGAGTGATATTATACTAAAGGTAAACGTACGTTTCTCGTACGTTCATCATATCATATCATATCAGGGGACTACAGCAAATATCTATACATATATATATATATATATATATATATATATATACATGTTATATGTGTGGTAAAGGCACGCGCTTTATTAGTAGTATACACACATTCAAAAATGACTATTTTATTCGTTATTTCAAATTAATCATTTTTTTATATATGTATATACTTTTATTTATTTAATATGATAACCGGTCTTAATTAAATTAGAATTCCAAGACATGACGGGACTGTATATATATTTTTTGGTCGCAAGGAGGCGTGTCAAGATACGTCCGGTCATCTCTTTAAATACATATTATTCCTCACGAGCAGAGTAGAAACTCAATAATAATTAATCTACTCACGTTACCTGCTATGATATATATGTATAAAGGAATGTCGGTGAAGATCCCTCATCGCAAGCCATATGTGTGTCCATGTCCAGTATGCGGTACTCATTACGATGATTGGCAGATTCAATTAACGAACATCCCGGATTCCTCATCATGCTTGAGGTCGAACTGACTTAACCTGACTAAATATTATTAATAATAATCATCTCATTACCAGGTCAATTAATTATCTTACCGTGTACTATATAGTTATATAATAATACGAAAAATTATCCTATATTTTAAATTCACATCTTTACGTATGATGTAAACATATATATATATATATATATATATATATATATATATATAATTTTTAGAATAAGGGATTACTTTTATACTGTCTTGTTAATTATTTAATAATAAATAATAGATGGAAAAAAATTTTTTTATCACTTAAATAACGTTAATTAATGTAATTATGGTTCAATGCCGTTATTGTTTATAATAAAGATCAAAATAATTGGACGATATTATAAAAGGGCAAGAGCCATGAACAATATTAATCCATTTAACAAACTCATTATCGATGAGATACACCAAACGTTTACTGTATAACTCGCGCGCGAGTGAATATATGTAGAGAAAGCAATTCTTGGGAACAACGTGCAAACGCTTACGGGTATTAGCGGTTGCACCCCTGCGGTTTGATTTACGAACGCGCGCTAACGAGCCAAGTATATATAATATATTTTAAATTTATATACATATATAAAGAGTAACAAGTAAGGATTATACATATATATGTTGGTAACATAGATTATATAGGACGCAGAGATAACCAAAATCTCAATGGATAATATCTAAACTTTGATGCTCCAAAATCAACCGCTTTAATGATCATATGTATTAATTCTTTATTAACAATGATTTTTTAAAAAGATATACATTATTATTATTATTATCATTATTAGATGATTAAATTTGAAAAATTTTTCGATATTTAACACATAATGTGTATATAGTCTAGATATTTTTATTTATTAATTATAAAATATATTATTAATTATACATTTATATCCATAAAGATTCATGGGTATATTACAATTGGAAAAAAAAAAAATAAAAAAATAAGATTTATAATTTAAGTTTTGTATTGTAAGATTTATAGTAGTTAAAGCTATAAAATAATCAATAAAATCGATGCAATGTAAAGATACAGACGTGCCGTAGTGATTTATATTAGTAAAGAGCGCCGGGTCTTCTATTCACCTGAATTATTATTTCAGGACTTGCATTCATTGAGAGACGAGGTAAAAATCAACAGATTACCCTGAAGGATCATTCTCAGTCTCACAAATACAAAAGTCAATAAACAAAATAAAAAATTAATATATATTATTTAGTTAATTATTTTTACTTTCGACAAATGTTGGATTACAAAAGGTTGTAGTTGCTTGTTTGTATAAAGGATTGTCACCCTAAAAAATAAATATTAATAATAATTATTATTATTATTTAATGAATTATAAATTACAAATAAAAAATATAATAAGAAAACTTACGCGTTCCCACTTAGCCATAGCACGTTCTTTTTCAAATTTAGCAAATTCACGATGATCGTGAACAATTGTTAGAATTTTCCATATCATTAAAATAAGAAATCCCAGGAGAACTGTACTTAAAATTACACCGATTGCAACACCAACAAGTGGAATTGGTGAGAGTATTCCAGGACAATCTTTTGTTTCTTGGGCTGTTATTTTAAAAAGTGAAATATCTCCACGATTACTGATGAGCTGATATTTAAATACAAAAGTACAACTATCATTTGTTGGTACACGACACATTCGTATGCCTGCCTCGTGTTCACTCGAATTAACTTGTACTTTATCAATTTTTTCCTTAAAATAAGAAAAAAAGTCACCATTACTATATGATAAATATATATCAACGCAAATAGAAAAAGAAATATAATAAACAAATAAATTACAATATTTATTTCATCATGACAATAATGATAGCAACCAGCATTACCAATTCGATCATCACTATTGGAATTATATACTAGGCATTCAACACAATCCTTTAATTTATCACAATGTAATCCCGGACAAGTCTAGAAAAAAAAAAAAAAAAAAAAAAAAAAAAAAAAAGTTAAAATAAAAGTATACGAATGATAATTAATATTATGATTAAAATAATAAATATATATAATTACAGGACAATCTTGACAAAAAGAACCCGAGTATAAGACATCATTTTCAAGTTTACAATGACATTTTCCACAAATACAATCTCCGTGACCGCTACAAATTTCAATATTTTTTCCAGGTGAAAAACATGTAGTATTATCATGGCAGTCACAGCTCTCTCCACTCCATCCAGAATAACAATTGCATGAACCACACACACAGTCGCCATTTCCACCGCAGAGCTTTTATACAAATATATATTATATTATATGTTGTAAGTGTGAAAATGAGAGTCAAGATAATAATAATAATAATAATAATAATAATAATAATAATAATAATAATAATAATAATAATAAATATAATTATAATGATATGGAAAAAGTGACCACGGGTTGGTGTGAATAACGACAATGACCACCACCGCATAATGATAATACAACCAGTAACCAGTGAATAAGATTAAAAATATATATACATGTATACATACCAAGCGATTACTACGTTTGCATGAAAAGTTATTACACTCGCAATATTTTCCGCTAAATTTTTCTAATGGATTTGGACGAACGTGACACTCACAAATACCACATTTACAAGTACCGTGATTACTACAATTGACAGTATCATTAACTGATGCTCGACAGTCTTCTTTTACAATACCTTTATTATTTTCATTTGGTAATTTATCGTTATTTTCACTTTTATTATTGTGATGATCGTTGGCGATGATATTGTGACAATCACAATATTTACCGTGAAAATTTTTATCACATAAACAGACTCCACAAGTAAGAGATCCACTGTAATTACATTCTTCTGCATGTACTTTAAATCCCTTAATAATAATTAATAAGAAAATTATAATACATATAAAAATTTAATTATTCATCATCCAGTAAGCAATTACTAATTTTATCAGATCTAAAAATATCATTATCATTAATAATAATAATAAATAAATTACCTTATTGCCAGGTTTATCACAAGGGCATTCACAAATTACTTTATATTCAATGATAAGACTTTCATTTAAACCTTCTGGCTTAATTTCAAATTTATTATACTCCAAATTACTCGACAAACATTCAGTTACCTATAAAGATAATATAAAATAATAGAACAGAGTAATAAATTAATAATCAATAATGTATAATTAAATTTAAATATTATTTTTATTTTTATACCTTAATTACAACTTGAAACTCGACAACATCACCAAAACGAAGTCCTTGGCATTTAGATTGTTCTTTCATATTATCATCATATTCTTTATCACCAATTGTATTTAAACATTTTGAAAAATATTTAACATTTATGTGTTGAGGTGCATTATCAATCATTTTCACTGACTCGACTAATTTCTGATGTATTAAAATATATAATATAATTATCTGTGTATAGAGATTATTATATAACAAGAAAATATCTATATATATATATATATATATATATATATATA